AAAAGGCACAGACCAAATTGATGAAGGAAGCTAAAGATGTTATTTCCCACCATGGCCCACTTGGTTATGAAAGTTTTTATGCTCACGCCATATTATGTGGTTATTTTAAATCTCATAAGCCTGTCAAGTTTAACCTGTGGCCCCTTTTCTGTCCACATTTTCCTGTTTTGGTCATAAATCAATCCGAAGGATGCATTGATGACCAAAGCTTTGGTTGCATAGTGTGGTCCCATGGTGCTAGGAAGGCTGTCATTCATAAAAAGTCTTGGTGTCAGTGTTTATCCTGCTGAATGTAAAACCACTGGGGGTGAGGTAAGACGATAACCTGAGATGGCAGTTATGGCCAAATTATTTATTTAGAAAAAAATGTGAGCAAATGCGAGGCAGTCAGATCTGGTATGTCTTCATTAAATATATTCTGGATCATTTCTAATCTTTGCGCTATCATGATCCGAGTTTTTTTTCTGTTAGCCTTTTTTTTTTTTTTTTGCATCTAGTACAACATTTACAAATTAGGACTGAGAACAATAGTATAAAACCAGTACCCCCGATTAGGAGCAGGAAATGTTTAATATTAGACAGGTAGGAATTTGAGGAGAGGAAACATCCTAGGCATCAAAAGAATGCTTTACATGTATTATCATAATTTTTAATTATTAAGTTAATATGTTTTCCTTCCTCATTTTACTGTTATTTGTACATTATGATATGTTTGGCAAGATGAATGAAGACTATTATTTTATGATCTAGAAGTTCACATTTTACTTTTGGCCAGTTAGTTTCCAAAGAAATGACTTTATGGGAAGGATTAAGTTCAATTTCCCAATACATTGGCTTTTCAGTATCAATATTATCATGGGTTTTATAATCTCAGGCAAAGTTAATTTGTCTATGATTTTAGTATTACATCATATTCTCACAGCATATCTCACAGCATATTTTTTATTTTTCAGTTTAAAATATTTTTATTATTTCATTTAAAAATTAATTAAAAATTAAAAATATTTTTTTAATATTTTAGTATTACATCATATTCTCACAGCATATCTCACAGCATATCTCACAGACACTGTAAATCTGGTGTCATTACAATAGAAATCAGTATAACAGTAGAATTCTCTAACCCTTCCAAATAAATAGTCCTCTTCCCATATACCATATATTGTTGTTTGTTTAGGTGGATACGCTAGGCCAGGATTGTGTGAATTCAGAATTTTTTATAGACTGGGGACAGAACCATTCACCTATTTTTATTTAATACGGCCTGTGATTCATTAATCTGATTTCTGTAAGTTGTATAACTGACAACTGTAACTTTAAGGTTAAATAGAGGTCAAGGCTGTAAGAACATAATGGTGTAAATCACAATTATTACCTAAAAGTTTTTAGAGGCCAGGACAGTTCAGGGTTTCATAAATTTTCTGTGCCTCAGCCCTTATTATAGAGGGCCATTTAAAAAATATACATATATTCATTTCATTTTCATCTGAAATAATATAGTTAGTAGTATATGTTGAGTTAGAAAACAAGCATAATTGGGTTTTAATATTTATATATAAAATTTTTTCTCAATATTTTTTATTCCATTAACGTGTGACATCAGTTGTCCTTCTCGGTTTGTCTTTTTTTTCTCATTCAGAAATAATCAGCTTATTAGGGCAAACTACTTCCTTCAAACCTCTCTCCAAAATACACACACATCCCTTTCTTTCTTCTATAATAACATTTCTTCTAAATTTCATAACCATAAAAATATTGATAAAGAAATCATATGTCTTCTTCAATTGTTAACAGTTGCTATATAAGTACAGAGTTTAAGAAAAGCCTAAAAAAAATATAAGTATCATTTTACTAATGTTATTAGCAGACAGGTAAAGACAAACAAATGGTGATTTTTAAGTTCAATATCAATTATGTAGATATACAGGCCTTCTCGATGTCTTGGGTTAGCTGTCTATCCCTGATGTTGGCGGCTTCTCATTCTTGACAAGTCTTTGATATCCATTGATGGGTCCTTTCTGACAAGGTTGGAGTTTTTTTTGTTTTTGTTTTTGTTTTTTCAGCTGAGCCATCCTGCCACCTGTTGGCAGCTCAACGGCTGCTCAGCTCGGGCCAGGCATCGAACCGCTGTCGCTCAGAGCTCAAACTCTTGAGCGAGCTCTTAACCAACTGAGCCACTCGTCCAGCCTCTAAAGTTGGAGTTTTTAATCAGTTGTGAGTCATGGTCTTTGAAGTCTTCCTCTTTCAGGAGCACATTGCAGTAAATCAGTTACTAGTTTATTAATTTTTTAAGATCATCGATGAGTCCTTGATAATAATGTAGAATGTCTCCTTTTAGTAAGGTTGGTTCATATGTCCCTACACATAATATGAACAATGACTATTGAGGAGAAAGCCTGTGTTTTTGAAAAGGAATATCTCAGGTGGAGAAGCATCATAAGGAGAACTTTTGGCCAGAGGAGATTAAACTAAAAGCTTCTAAAATTTTACCTAGTTGCATTTTAATTTATCATTTGTACATTCTACCGATCCAGAGGACTGGGGTGATAAGCACAATAAAAATGCTGTTAAATAAGCCCAATATTACAAATGGATTATTAAAAAAAAATGACAGTAGGTTTAGTGAATTCCTTAATGCATGCTTGTTATGCCTTGGAACTGAAAAGTGTTCCAGTGGGGCCATTGCATAATTTTATAATGATGTTCTAAATATATGACTTTCTTTTGGTGGTTCTTTTCCATGTCTTTTGTTAGCATCCTCTCCTACTCCCCAAAACTGCTATTATAAATCTCTTTATATAAAAGTTCCACCTCATTATTAGCATATGATCACACACACAACATTGTTGCATCAATGCACTTCCTCTCCTTTCTAACCCCATATATAGTTAGCATCAACCTCTATATTCACCCTTTTTTTTTGCCTTTTCTTCTATCTCAGTATCTCAGTAACAAAGTCTACCAAAGGTTAGCTTTTCCTCCCCTGCTCTGTATTCGATCATTTACCCCTGATTTTTCCTCTATGCAAAATACCCCATCAACTTCCTCCTTTCTTATTGCTTATAAGCATGTTAATTTTCTCCCATCATAGAAACAAAACAAAGGAAAAACCATGTGATCACCTTTGTTCATATGTCTCACTTTAGCAAGCTGTTTAGCTTTACTCATCATAGTCAGGCTTCTTAAAAGAGTAGTTATTTTTGCTGTATCCACTTTCTTGCCTCTCATTGTAGCCATCCTGGTAGGTGTTTACCACCACCCCACTGAGTGAAACTGCTCTGACAAAAATAACCAGTGACTTCTAAGTTACGACACTCACAGGTTCTTTTTTAGCTCTTATTTTGGTCTCTGTAGCAATTTATACCAATAAAACATTGTTGACCATTTCTCTTTCCCTTGACTTCTCTGGGACCATACTGCCTTGAGCCTCTTTCTTACATTTTGGAAGTTGTTCTTTGATACCCATTTTAAGCTTCCTTTTCTCTCTCCTTGAATGTGGTACCCAAGGCTTTCCTCCTTTGTCCTTCCTTTTCTTATTCCATATACTTTGTCTCTCGATAATCTCATCCTTAGCCTTGGCTGCTCAGAACCAACAACAAAAAAAGTGAACTACGTACATAACTCTCCAACAGGTACCTCACACCCAGAACTTAATGTATCTAAAACTGAGTGTGTTGTCTTTCTTTCTGAATCATGCTCCTCCTCTGGTATTACTTATTTTAATGAGCTACACCACCCTCACAGCCCAAGCTAGAAAAGTGAGGACCATTTTAGACTCTCCCCTCTCTTCCATCATGCTCTTCCTTTTAAGGGTTGTATTATCTGTATTTTCATCCATATAGCTACTGCTCCTTCATAGTTTAGGGTGTCCTAATATCTAGCTTGGAATGTTTGCTGTACTCTCTAACTGTTCTCCCTACTTTTAGTCATCTACAAATGCACACACCATAGTGTTATCAGAAAGATATTTATTAAAAAAAAAACACGTCATTTTCCTTCATAAATCTCATCCAAAGTTCCCAGAGCTCATGTATAATAATGTCCAAAGAAGTTTTCCCACTTCATTCATGTGCAGTCATTTAACAACCTGTGGCAATTTCGTGTTTTCATTTTCTTTGTGCCTGTTCTTGCTCCCGCCACCCTCTCTACAGAAGACCCTCACTGATTCTCACATGGACTTCTCCAAGACCTACCTCGCTGAACTCCTTAGTGCCCTTGGCTTTCTGTCTCTTAACTCTAGTAATGTAACATTATGATTTCCCTAAAAACAGAGCTGTAATCATTTTCCTAGTTCAAAAACATTTAATAAATGTCACTTTAACCTATTGAAAGCTGAGTCATTTAAAAGACAATCTTCTGCATGAAAGCTTTATGATCTTCCAATTATAAGACTTATTTCTACTGTGATCTTTTATAGGCTTCTCTTGCAATAAACTTATTTTGCTAAATTTGGGGTAATGTGTGAACTTGTGATAGTGTTCCCATGTTAAAGGTAAAAGTTTGAAGTAAAGGGATTATGTTTTACTGATTTTAGTTTATTCTTCAGATCCTTAACAAAATATGTGCTAATAAAGAGTTATTAAAAGAAAATCATTACCCACTGAACTGGTTTATTATATAAATTAAATGGGATGGTGTAGAGAGAAAAAATATTGTAATGCAAAGCCCGTTTTACAAACCTTATTATTTATAATTTTTACATTTCCCAATAGTATTTCTAGCCGATGCTCTTTATTATGTGAATAAACATATTCAAATAAGTAAAACAATTTTCCCAGGTTTCAAACATCTTTATATATTCAAAATGAGAACCCTAGCTATCATTCATATGACATTTTAGATTGAGATTAAATAGCCTATCCCAGTACTAATAACTGAAAACCAATGGGTGGTTATTTTAACCATTATTTACAAATATATGTAGTGAGAGTTTTATATAATGAACATAATATTTTTTATATGTGACTATAATATTTTAATATTACTGTCTGTTCAGCAAAAACAGGACAAGATGAAAGATGAACTCCATAAAGAAGAAAAAATGTGGAAAGAGAGATTCAAACAGCATGAGGTATCTATTTGTTGTTTTTACTCAGTGCAATAATCATTCTTCCTTTAAAATAAATCACTGTGCTTGGAATAGACATTTAAAAATAATATTTCCTAACTGGTATAGGATTTAATTTACTAAAGCTTTAAACATTCATTAATCATTAGAAACTCTTCTTGAAATGGAATGTCCTGAGAATTAAAATAAACTGGTTAGTGAGTGAGTATGTTTATATAAAATTATAATTCTACAATTTCTTTTGAGGTTTGAGGAAACATACAATTATTAACTTATCGTTATGATTGAAAATTGTTATGAAAATTACTGCATTTCTTGAACACAATTAATTGATTTTGCTAAATAACCCCATTGAATGTAAGATGATTCTGATAACACATTTATTAAATGTAACTTTATTTATCCCACACTTTTTATATAAAATTATTTTAAGTAATTACAAGTATAAAGTAGATAAAATTTCCCATACTCGTGCTGTTCACCTGAACATATTACTTTTCTTTGTATTTCCTTCAAGGCTTCCTTTTATTTATATAAACATAACACAGAAAAGTTAGGTTTTTAATGGCCATACTATTTTTTATCAATTTTAAATAGCTTTATTAAGATCACATATAATAAATTACACACATTTAAAGTGTATAATTTGATTAATTAACATGTATAAATCATTCAAGCCATAACCACAAACAAAATACTATACAATTACACTATATCTGTTTCCTTGCACCTTTTCATAATCTCTTTCCTACCCTCTGCAGGACTCCCTTTCCCCTTCTAGGCAACCACTGATCTGTTTTCTGTCATTATAAATTAATTTGTGTTTTCTAGAATTTTACAAAAATGAAATATACACAGTATGTTCTCTTTTATCTGACTTCTTTCATTCAGCATACTTGTTTTACATTTATCCATGTTCTTGCATACATAAATTGTTTTTCCTATGATGGCTGAGTACTATTCCATCATATGGATATAGTACCTCAATTTGTTGATCCCATCACTTATCAATGGATATTTGGGTTGTATTCAGTTTATGCCTATTACACATAAAGCTTCTATAGGCATTCACTTATAAATTTTTGTGTAGATACTTTCACATCTCTTGGGTAAAAAGCCTGGAAATGGAATCATTGGATGTTATCATAGGTGAACATTTACCATTTAAAACAATTTTTTAAAAGAGTTTTATTAGAATATAGCTAACATACAATATTATGTTAGTTTCAGGTGTACACCATAGTTTTTCAACATTTATATATCTAAAGAAGTGATCAGTGTAATTCCAGCATTAATTTGAGACTGTACTACACTATCACAATATTATTCACTATATTCTCTATGCTGTACATTATATCCCCATGGCTTACTTGTTTTATACCAAGAAATAGGAACCTCTTATTCTTCTTCACCTTTTCCCACTGTTTTAATTTTTTCAATTACAGTTAACAATATTATTTTATATTAATTTTAGGTGTACAGCATAGTGGTTAGATATTTATATATTTTAAGAAGTGATCCCCCTGACTAGTCTAGACCCATCTGGCACAATATATAATTATTACTATATTATTGATTATATTTCCAAAGCTTTACATCCCCATGACTATTTTGTAACTACCAATTTATACTTCTTAATCCCTTCCCCTTTTTCACCCAATCTCAACCCCCTTCCTATCTGACAACAGTCAAAGTATTCTCTGTATCTGTTTTATTTGTTTGTTTGTTTTGTTCTTTAGATTCCACATATAAGTGAAATCACATTATATCTGTCTTTTTATGCCTGACATACTCCACTCATCACAATACCCTCCAGATCCATCCATGCCCCCGCAGATGGCAAGAACCCATTCCTTTCCATGGCTGAGCAATAGTCCATTGTACATATGTACCCCCTCCTCTTTGTCCATTCATCCATCAATGGACACCCAGGCCTCCTCCACATCTTGGTCATTGTAAACAGTTCTGCAGTGAACATATAGATGCACATGTCCCCTCGAAGTAGTGTTTTGGGTTTCTTTTGATAAATACACTGAAGTGGGTTTACTGGGACCTTCTTTGTTTCTTGTTATAGGCTTTGTTTGAAAGTCTATTTTATCTGGTATAGTTATCATGACTCCAGCTTTTGTTTATTTCTTTGTTTCCATTTTCATGACATGTCTTTTTCCCATGTCTTTACTTTGAGCTTATGTTTGTCTTTCAATCTGAAGTGAGTCTCCTATAAGGGTCTTGTTTTCTTATCCATTTAGCCACCCTATGTCTTTTGATTGGAGCATTTAATCCATTTACATTTGAAGTATTGGGTTGTTGGAAAAGTCATGATGTATTTGTCTATGTTTTTCAAAGGTCATTTATTTATATAAAGAACAAAGATCAATCAATAATATATTGCCCGTTTAGTTCGATAACCTTTTGCCATCTTTCCGTGAGCTTCATAATTTCTCGTTCATAGAAGGACCTGTCTTTATTTGCGAAAAACTGAACAAGGTGCTGATTTACAGTCTCATCTGAATTGAATGTTATACCACACAAGGAGTTTTGAAGAGAGCAAAACAAGTGGAAGTCTGATGGTGCAGGGTCAGGCGAGTATGGTGGGTGTGGCAACACATCCCATCCAAGCTCCAATCATTTTTGACAGGCGATCAAACTTATGTGTGGTTTTGTATTGTTGCAATGGAACACAACTATTTTACAATTAACAAGCTCCGGACATTTCTGGATGATGGATTTGTTCAAACTGTTCAATTGCTGACAGTACACATTTGAATTGATTGTTTGGTTCCTTGGTAGGAGCTCAAAAAACAGGACACCTTTAAACATTTAAAATCCCATCACACTGAGAGCATAACCTTCCTCTGATGAATGTCTGCTTTCGATGTCGTTTGAGGTGAATCATCACGTCGGTACCAAGACCGTTGCGCACCACATTGTTGTAAACAATCCACTTCTCATCACCAGTTATCAGTCGCTTCAAAAAAGGATCGTTTTCCTCATGTTTAATGAGCATATTGCAGATGTTTATATGCGCTGTCAAATGAACTTCTTTGAGTTCATGCAGAACCCAAATATTGAGCTTGCTTATGTATCCCAGCTTCTTCAGGTTGTCATGAATGCTTGAATAATGGAAGTTCAATGTTTCTGCAATCTCTCGTGTTGTGTAACATGGGTTTGACTCGATAAATGCCTTTATTTTGTCATCATTAACCTCAGTGGGCCTCTCTGACCGAGGGGCGTCATTGAGGTCAAAATCACCAGCACGGAATTTCATGAACCATCGTTGGCACTGACGTTCTTTTAGAGCATTGTAATCTTTAGGCAACTTTTCACAAGCTTGACACGCGTTCTTCCCTTTATGGAAGTAAAACAGTGAAATACGGCAAAAATGAACAGTTTGGTCTTCCATCTTCAACTTATAAAATCTCCAAAATGCAACCAAATCACTCAATTTATTTTTAGAATGAAGCTAGAACTGTCAGCTGTCAAATGACATAGCAATAGCATAGATGTGAATGACTCTAGTACTTCCAAAAATGAACTAGTGCCATCTGTCGCAAACATGAGTCATGACTTTTCCAACAACCCAATAATTTCTGAAGAGATAATAGTTGAAATGGTTTCAAATTCTTAAAAAATCAGAACATTCAAAGATGATTAATGATCCCCAAGTAGAATCAATACAAAGAAAATCATAACTAGAAATTTAATAGTATAACTATTGAAATTAAAGGCAAAGAAGGAAAACTCTTCAAAGCAGTCAGAAGGGAAAAAAAGACACATTACATAAAATGTATTTTCATTGCCTCACATCATTTGTATGAGTTTTCCTCAAATATTTGCTGAATTTCTTGATCTGTTTACTTTTATTTTAGGGTTCTAGTGACAATGATATTTACTCATCTAACTCCAAATTATCTCATTTAATTCACCACGTGCTTATCAGTTCTGTTAATAGTTGAGAAAGGATAAGGAGTGTGACTAGGCTAGTTCTTCATATAGCTTATGTGTATGTTTTACCTTACTTCCCTGGTATCATAATTCTCAACAACAACAACAAAAAAAAAGTGCCTTGCTTTTGCAGTCCCTGTGCTAGCTCTGGGAGTCTCCTTTATCAGAACCCCCCATCTCAGACAGTTGAAGTCTTTTCTCCCACACACATTTTGGCTTGTATTTCTCTTGCTTTTTTTTTTTCTGTGTTATTTTGATTTCATATGCTTTCTATCCTCAACGAATTCGTCAGTTTAATCTGGATGGCTTAGCATAGCCGTAATATTTAGAGTATCGACTAACTTGATATTAAAAAAATAATATCCTTTAAAATAAATGACTATAGTTTTTTCTAAGTGAATTTTATAGTAACTTCATTATGATTTCAGTTTTAGTATTTTCAATGTATATTTTATATTATATTTTAATAACATCACACTTTTAATTTCTACTGACTACTGTTTATCTTTATTTTAGGAGTTTATTAGAAATTTGAACTTACAAATGGAAGAAGAAAGAACACGATTTAAAGACCTACAGGAAAAAGAAAAAATTCGTTTGTTAAAACTGCAGCATAATGCAGCTATAAAAATTCAGGCTAAATATAGAGCATTTGTGGCCTACCAAAAATATGGCCCAATCATAAAAGAACAAATAGAAAATAAGAAAAGGAAAATGCTAGAGTGGAAAGAAAAGGAAGCAAAAATACGACAGGTGGAAGAAGAAAAACGAAAAAGATTAGAGGAGGAACAAAGAATAGAAGAAGAGATAAAAAGGCAGAAGCAAGAGGAAAGGAAAAGGAGAGAGAAAGAATATGAAGAAAAAAAGAATATTTTGAGACAAGAAAAAGAGCAACTACGAAACAAAGAAAAATTAAGATTAAAAGAAGAGAGAAGACAAAAGCTAATAATAAGTACAGCATTAAAAAATGGAGAACATAATGCCAAACATTTAACTGTCAAAGGCGCATCAGAGAATCAGGATGATATAGTAAAAAAGCTAGGGGATGAAAAGTCAAAGAAGTGGGAAGATGTTCCCCTTTGGTTAGTTGAAGAATCGAATAAGGGAGAAAATGTAGATAGACAACTTGTATTCAAAGAATCAATACAAGTGCATTTAAAAGAATCTATATCAAACCATGCAAATTTGGCAGAATGTAAAGTGGAAGAAAAAAGTGAAAAGCTAGCAAAACAATGTTCAGAAAAATCGGTCAAGCAAGAAAGAAAATTTGAAAGTATAGATGAAAAAACTGAATTGGAGCACCCAGATCTAAAAGATAATGTGAAAGAACAGTTTCAGCTGCAAGAATTAAAGTCTCCAGTACAAAAGGAAGAAACCTTGAAGCCTACCATAAATGATAATATGACACAAGAAACCCAAATGATAATATTAGGACATAATCAAGAAATTAATGAGGTGGAAAACAACGAAGCACAGAAGATAATCAAAGATAATCAACAGAGTAAGATACAAAAAGTAGAAAAAGAAGAGATATTAGAACAGAATGAAACATTATATGAAGAGAATAACAGTTCAGTGATTGCAATGAAACAAAAACTACCACCACTAATATTACAAAATTCTGAAAATATAGGAGGAAATGTAATACCACAAGAAAAAGAAACTGATTTAAAATGTAAAGAAGATGAGGAGAACCCCAACGGCAATACTCTGAATAGTGACGTGATTTTTAATACTAGTGATGCTCTGACAAATGTAGAATGCAAAATAAACAAACAAAATTTAATTTTAGGTAGACATACTCCTTGTGAAGACCTGGGTGGCTATAATGCAAAAAACGCCTTGATTCTTAAAGAAGTAAACTCTCTGAAGTCTCAAGTTAAAGAAAGTCCAAAAGAATGTCATGAAATTAGAGCAGAACATGAAAATATCGTGACCTGCTCTGCACCAGAGCCAACACTTCTATCTTGTATTGAAGAAAAGAGACGAGCTTGGATAAAATCATTTAAACCCTGGTTGGAAATTTTCAAGCAAAATCAGCAAAAGAAGATTGTTAAGAGAAAGAGACTTGTAAAATGCCCAGCTGACATTCTGCCCCCTTTGAATTCACTAGAAATTCTTCGGTGTGGTCCTTGGAATACTTTACAACAGGTATTTTTTTAATTTTATGAACTTTTTCATATTTAATTTGAATTGGTTCTCTAAAATGTAACTTTCTAAATCTTAGTAGTAGGCATATTTTATATTCAAGAATTCTGTCTCTTAATCAGTGAAGTTGCTAGTGGAATATTGTCCCTTGTATGTATTCATAGATCCCTCAATTTAAATTATTAAGGGGGTCTTCTCCCTCAGTGAAGCACTATAAAAAGCTTTGATTTATATCTTGAAGCCTGTGTTTAAGGGCCCTATAGCCATTATCAAGTTTCTAAGAGTAGAGGCATCTGGGAATGTAGGGTCAAATGAGAACAGGAAATTTTTAACTAATATTTCAATTAGGAGTTTACGTTAGTCTTGGGCCACATCACCACCTAGTGGCTCTTTTAGAAATGAAGTGGATTTCCCTGTATTTGACACATGTGAAAGAAGGGCTTATGAGAATAGAATTTTTATAAAAACATGATTATTTAGTAATATGCTATGTAGACATGGTGGCTATGTGTCTGAGATTTAATATAGTTGTCACCAAATATTACTAATTTTCTATGTTTATGGAGCCTATAGTTTCAATCAAAATGAAGACGGAAACTAATGTATAGAAAAACAAGGAAGACTATTTCAAATAGTGAAATACTAAAAAGGATTTATGATTTAAAAACATACTTATCTAGAGCTTGAAACTCAAATGTATTTAACAAGTTTATTTAGTTTCTTGATATAAACAGATGCCTAGGAAAGGAGACACTCATATTAATATATGTGCATTGTTTTATTCATTCATTCAGCAAATATTCATCTGTCCACTATGGATGATTAAAATTTATTGTTGAACCAAAGGGACAGATACAAAACCCAGTCTTTACACTTATGGAACTTACTGTGGTAGAGAAAAAGGTATTAAACAAATAAATACACAGATAAATACATTATTACAGATCTTGTTAAATGCCATAAGTGAGATTTCAGGGTACTCTGTGAGAGGATAATAAGATCATAAGATTTAAAGAGATCTCTGGGATGTAAGAGATCAGTGTAAGGAACTGCTCTGAGGTGTCCTCTAGTCCTAGGGTGATACATTTGCCATATCTGTCAGATCTGCAGAGCTGCATATAGAATCTCTCATTAGCTCTTCTCTAACTTTTTTCTCTTTGGCTGCATTATATCTGGAATCATTCTTTTTCTACTTTCCCTGTGTTGCTGCAGGCTTTCTGAAGTGATGACATTAGCTGCTGTTTTATTTAAAGTCATTTTCCTCATGAACATCTGTTGGGGCTAAGCATGAGTGATAGCTCCAGGCCTCCAGGGGAGCTGTTTCAAAAGTAAAACTGAGATCATATGATATTTGTCTTTCTCTGACTGACTTATTTCACTTAGCATAATGTTCTCTAGATCCATCCATATTGTTGCAAAGGGTACTATTTCCTTCTTCTTTAGGAATTGTAATAGATAAGCATGATAGCGGGGGTGGGAGGACAATAGGTGGAGGGAGGGGGGTTGTTACTTTGTGAGGGTGAAAATGGTAACTATTGCATTGTTCTGTACACCTGAAACTAGCAATAAAAACGTAAATAAATAAAATTTAAAAAGTAAAACTGAGGTTAGGAGAAGGAGGGAGTGTTATCCTCCTTTATTGCGGACCTGTGTTCTGTCCAAGAGCACGAGGACACGACCGTGTGCGAGCCTCTACTCTGTGTTTCCTCTGCGCACTCCTTTCCTTCTGTGGAACGCATCACTTTACAGAAAGTGAGAATTAACCCTCTCTTTTACTTCTCAGAGCACAGCTTTGCACATTGTCCTGTGTATACAGATCACCTGGGGCCTTGCAACTATTGATTCTGATTCATGAGGCTGGGTGACCAGCCCCAATGCCCTGTTTCCACAGTGCCCCTGGGTGGTGCTGTGGGCGCTGGGCCATGGCCTAAGTGGAGCAGCAGTGTTCTAAAGGACTCTGTAATCCCCTGATGACTGCTCAAAGCAACCACTTCAGACATTTCATTTTTCTTTGAAGCATGAAATACACAGTGTAAAGATGAAAAATATATGTGAATGTGCAATTAAATGCTCGAGTGTTATAAAATACTATCTTTTGTTGATTTTGGCAGATAGCTGATAGTGGTGTCTTCCTTCCTCACTGCTACCGACCTATTACTTTTATTTTCCAACCTCATACATTTATGTCTTCGTCCTTATCTTGATCACCCATTGCCATGTTTGGGAGTTCTGACTGGAAGAGGACCTTTAGGAAAGAAGTTTACTCCTCTGAAATCTCTCTCAGTAATGAATTCATTTTGCTTGTATTAATCTCTCACTTTGAGTCTTCAGGACACATAGCAGGTCTACTGCATGTCCACACTTCCGTATGTATTGTCAGACAAAGAGTGGTTTCCATTAGTTGACTGTGAGATGGATGAGTAGAAGGATAGATAAATGGATGGATAAATAAATGGAACTGATTATTAATCTTATTTTCATATTATTATTCACTTCACAATTTTGGTAGAGTGTTTTGATTAAAAATGAAATTAATATACAAATAATTTGAGTGTAATTTAATGGAGTTCTAAGAAGTCCTGTATCAAGTAATATCAGGGTTTTAATTTTATCTCTTTCATTTACTGGCTGTGTCACCTTGGGTAAGGTTCTTGACCTTTCTGAGCCTCAGTTTTTTGTCTTCTATGAACTGGGAAGAGCCATACTTACTCTGTAGGATTGTTGAGTTTTAAAAGGCCATATATATAAAGAATGTAGCCTAGGGCTCCTAATACAGACAGTAGTCATTGTCAAAGTAGATCTCAAGCATCTGAAGAAAAAGACAATGGGTGTTTGAAGGCTGCTTAATAGCCTATCTCATCAAGGATGTTATTAAGTTGAAAATGCTGGACCATCCACTATATTCAATAATATCACGAAACGATAGGACAGTGACTATTGACAACTAAAACATATTGACAACTAATATGTTTTAATTTTCCCTAGTTTTACCTAATTCGTTTTTCTTTTCTTTTTGATATTTTCCTCCTAATGGTAACTTGCTTTAAATAGCAACCACAAGAAAGGGTACTAAGCTTAAGGATTTTTTTAATATGGCTTTATGACATGGCATGGATGATAATATTTTAGCTACTGACTAACTTTTATATCAGAATGTCTCACTTCCCTTCTATAAGGCAAAGTGTAATAAAATGGTGGTGTGATGGTACAAGATTTACTTGAAGTTATTCTCTTTCACTTAAGCCACTAATCATACCTCATATTCAGTCTCTTTGCAGATGATTTTTTAAACTACAGAAAGTACCCAAAAAATGTATGCATATTTTAAGAAAGGAAAAACTGGTATTAAAATTGTAATACTCAATATATACCAATAACAAAAGATGAATACAAGTCATGTGTACACATTTTTTGGCACCCCCAGTATTATTTATTCAGGATTAACAGATTTGAGATGTGGCACTGAACAGATGTACTGCAAAAAAAGCAAAACATAGAGTCATTGCTTCTGTTATTTGTGTAATTTCAGTTTATCATAGATGATTGATGCTCTTTGGGTTGAACTCAAGAATAATTGAGGATGGATAGATAGATAGATAGATAGATAGATAGATAGATAGATAGATAGATAGATAGATAGATAGATGTCATTTTATGTACCATTTGGGGAAATAAAGATGATTAAATGGAAACTGACTAGTGATATTTTATTAAAATACAGTAAATGAGTCATAGATTCTGTAGGTGGAACAGCTCATTTTCAAGTTTACTTTCCCTTTCTAAGGGAAAGAAACCACCACTAATGAACATTTACTATGCTTCAGTTGCTCTTTTTCAGGCTGACTCTATAGTGATGAACAACTATGAGAACTAATTCTATATTGACCTTAATTTTTGGAGCATGAGGCTGTTTTTATTTATGTGATACATGCAGTATCAATAAATGATTCAAGTGAAACATCATTTTGGTCGCATATGTTTGGATAAACCTAGGGTGCTCTATCAGGAGGAAACTCTTTTAATGTTCTATAAAAGGGAAGAGGAAATATTATGAAACACTTCATATTTAAAGGTGATATAATACCATTAACAGGGACACCGTAGCAGTTGCTACTCCAGTACTGTAATTAAACTAGCAAATTGCCACATCATAATAATGATAATAATTGCCACATAGAACTTGCATTTATGTATTCAATTATAAGCAGCATAATATTAAATCAGGCAGAATAATATAAATTATAAGATAGAGCAGCATTTGTTACTATAAAGCTGCAGTTGTTATTTTCAGTTTTTAAGTGCTCAATTCTAAATAGTGTGTTTATTTTTTAGTATAGAGCCAGTGTTCCAACTACAGAATTTATAGTGGTTCTTTATGGACCAATTAAATGGACACTGTATAGCAGTTATCATGTCACAAACGGATGAATATTTTTCTCTTTAAAAGATTATTTTAAAATATTTGTTTCAAAAATTGTTTTAAATGTATTTTTCAGTTACAGTTGACATACAATATTATATTAAATTCAGGTGTACAACAAAGTAATTAGACATTTATGTAACTTATTAAGTGATTACCCAGATAAGTCTAGTGCCCTTTTGACACTGTACATAGTTATTACAATATTATGGACTATATTCCTTATGCTGTACTTTACATCATCCCTGTGACTATTTTAGTAGCTGGCAATTTGTACTTTTTAATCCCTTTCACCTTTTTCACCCTGTTCCCCCAAAGCCCCTCCTCTGTAGCGACCACCAATTTGTTCTCTGTGAGTTTGTTTTTGTTTGGTTTGTTAGTTTATTTTGTTATTTATATTTCACATATAAGTGAAATCATATGGTATTTGTCTTTGTCTGGATTACCACTTATTTTGGACTTCTATTTTCATCATACTCATAGGTCTCCCATCGGTTATCACTTTCCTTCTGCCTTAAATATGTGCTATCAACACTGACATATCCTCCCACTTTTTGTTTGAGTATGTATTTTACCCTCATTCTTGAACAATATTTTCACCAATAAAATGGTGTTTTGGATTATGAATAATGGAGACATTCCTAAAATTCCTATGAAACTAGAAACTTTTATTCACCCAAAATTTTTAAAACACTGATTGCTGCTTTTGCTATTTAAGCAAGGAGTAGACTTAATTGCTTCTTTATATCGTAATGAACACATGTAATCTTCCCATTCACTTGTATAATTATGTGAATTAAAAGCTTAGTTTAATATAGTGCACAGTAGATGTTACATATGAAGAGGAGTTCCTGCACTTAAAATTTTATGCTTTTTCCAGCTTTTTCTGAAACAATAATGCTTTCAATTAAACATTTTTTGAATTCCTGATTTGAGTATGATATATAATAGACTTTTCCTAAAAGCTAACCATTTTTAAATTATTATCTGGAATTAGGATTTTTGATGTGACAATATGAAAGTGTTCTTACTATAAAGTGATTTTTATAGTTACTCGATTATAGTGAAGAACCAATACATTAGTACATTATTTCTCTGCCCTTTTATTAGGTGAGAGATCTTGAGTTTAATAAGTAGAATGTTTTTTAGTAATACAAAAATATGCCTATCTGACATAATCTTGTAGAACAGTAAGTGTAGTCCTTAGTACACTTAACATAAAATTGAATACATTATTTGATATTGAGTTTTCTTTAATTTAAAAGACTTAAACCAAAAAGATAGAAAAGTTCCTTAAGAAAAAAGGCCTTGTAAAGTATTGAGTGTACAGTAGTATCTCAAGAATATGAAATGTTTTAAATGTATGGCCTTCAAATGTTTGAAAAATACAGAAGAAAATGCTACTCATAATTTGTTTTACCACAGATACCATATGCTTGGGTATATTACTTATTCAGTAGTAAAGAATGATAATACAGAAGACTCCAAATAGAATGTTTGTATTACATGGTTCAATTATTATTGCAAGGTTCTACTTATTACAGGTTCTATAATATCTCTTCTCAGTCAAACTTTTTTTTCAGGAAGATAGCTGAGCTATCCACTTGAAGCATGGCAGGTTTGGCATAAAATCTATCCCCTGACCTGTTGCGGCTCCTATTACTATCCAGGTATCCCTAGGAGACTGTCAAATGCTCATCTTAAACATTTATATCATGCAATTCAGAAAATAATGCCAAGAACATGAAAAACAAGGAAAGTGAATTTGGTGAAAAATCTGGGTGTGAGCTAATAAACTATTGTTATTACTTCTATGCATATTCCTTTTTAACATGAATTGGTAGTGAATGACTGCATTATTTTGCCTTTCTATATGGGGAACAAAAGAGGCCAGATAGCTAAATGAAATTGTTAATAAATGTGGGTTTCAATATGCATCATTATTTTTAGGTGAATTTTTTAAAACAATGTTGCAAGGCAAATATAGTTTATATTCATTATTGTTAGCTAATGTTGTACATGCCTATTTTCCTGATTTCTCTAGGTAACAACAGTTACATTTCAAGATTTGCCAGGTTGTAGTCTTTCCACACTGGCCGAGTGTACAAATCTGCAGTTCCTATCTCTTCGACGCTGTGGATTAACTTCTTTGCAGAGCCTGAATAACTGCAGACAACTGAAGTATGTTGATGTACAGGTATGTCCTCTGGTCTCATAATTATTTATCTTATAATAAAATATAAAGTGGATTCATCTTTACATTTCAGAAAAGAATGTTTTAAAGAAACATTTACTAAAATAGCATGTACATTATGATCAAGGGCCAAAATTTGTGAGAACTGTAGAGGTAAGCTGATTTAGTGGTATGACCTAGAGATTATTTATTTCTTCTTGCAGATGATTGTTTTTGGTACTTTTTGCTGCATAACAAATGAGCACATTACTTAGTAAATTACAACAACAATCATTTTATTTGCTCCTGGTTCTGGGGGCCATGAATTGAGGCCAGGCTTGTCTAAACATTTCTTCTGTTTCATATTGTGTTGACTGGGCCTCTTCTGTAATTTGCAGCTAGAGGTGAATGTCTAAAATGCCTTCTTATATGATTGGTGCCTTGAGAGGCTGCGATTTCAATCTCTTTCCCTCTCTCTCTCTCTCTCTCTCTCTCTCT